ACCCTAGTAAAGCCCACTTCCAGGGGCCTCCCGTTGCTGATTATGTCCAGCATGGCCGCGTCTTCGGCTCAGCCGCATGGGGTTATTCCGGCGGCGACACCAGCAACCTGCCGTCCCACCCGTATCTTTCGGTGCGGCGGCAATGTGGTGTCCAGTATCAGGGAGAAGGAACATGCCTTAGCGGTGAAGTGGTGTTCCGCCGCCAGTCGCTGACGAAGCCCAGTTCCTCGCATTTGCACCTGCCTCGGTGACTCTCGAATCACCTGTTTGGGCTCGGTTCCTCGGGCCAGGGACTTGCCTGAAAAAGGCGAATTTCATTGGTTGAGTCCCTTCAAGATGGTTTTGTTGGTGACAAAGGGGGCGCCCGCAAGGGACGCCCCCAAAATATTAACACTCAAACGGCACGGACAACCCGTGGGTGTCCGCTTCGAACTTAGGCCGGTAATCCATGTCATCGAGGAATCTCGCTGAAATTCCCGCACAGTTTTTCCCAGGAGTCGCCGCCATCGTCGCTGCGATACATGTAACCGTAGCGGCTGCCCGCCAGCACTACCTTGGGATCAAAGGGCTGGATGTTTACCACCCACATCGCCGTGTTGGGATCCACCGGCAGGGGAAGGTTCTCCCAGGTTTTGCCCGTGTCCCTGGAGCGCATGATGGCGCCCACCCGGCCAGGCGTGGTGTCGCCGACGGTTACAAAGATGGTCTTCGGGTCATCGGGCTGTACCTTTACGCCCCGGGATAGCCTAGGGGAAGTTCTGCTTGACGCCCAGGGAGGTCCAGTTGTCGCCGTCCTGGCTGGTATAAACATCATCGTTAACGAGGACCACCACCGTCTTGGGCGGACCGCCGGCCACGGCCACGTTGTGGATGTCCAGGTTGGGAATGGACCCGGGGTTGACCTTCTCCCAACTGTCCCCCCCGTCGGTACTGTGGCGCACCCCGTCCACCTCGAAGCCAACCCAGATGTCCTGCCGGTTTTCGGGGTCTATTGCAATGCCGGTTACGCGGGGGATGCCCACCGCCGGGCAGGTCTCGGCAACTTCCACCGGTCGCTTCTCCCAGGTTTTGCCGCCGTCACTGGAGCGGAAAATGGTGGCCGGATCGGGAGTGCCGGTGCCGGCGTACATGGTCTGCGGGTCGGATTCATCTATGGCCACGGCCCAGACGCAGTAGTCGCTGACGGGAGAGTCCACCAGCTTCCAAGACATGCCCGCGTCTTCGCTGCGGTAGAGGCCCTTGTCGGTGCCGGAAAAAAGAACCTCCGGCTGTTCGGGGTGGTTTACGACGCAGCGAACCAGCGCGTCTGAATGGAGTCCCTGGTTTAATGCCCACCCGCTGCCAGCTCTCGCCGGAGTTGCCGCTGCGCATTATGCCCTGGCCCACGGTACCCACCAGCATGGTCATATTGTCTGCCATAGCTTTGCCTCCTTTGTGATAGAGGTTTTCTTGAGGTTTCGGATTCGCGAATAGCCTTTCCGGTTTGCCGGTATCATACTACCGGCCGTTGGGGATTGCTACCAAGTTAATCGACATCGGCGGCCAACCGTTGGGGATCACTGAATGGGGATCAATGGATGGGAAGGAAACCCGCCGCCTGTTCAAGTTGTGGCAAAGACAAACCAGACCATATTCACTTATAATCTGTCCCGATCTCATAAGGAGAAAGGGTGTCGATGAGAGTTTACGTTGCCAGTTCATGGCGCAACAATGTTTATCCCGAGGTACTGGAGGTCCTGCGCCAGGCTGGCCACGAAGTCTACGATTTCCGTCACCAGGGTGGCTCGGACTGGAACCCTGCCGAGATCACCTCGGATGTACTCTTCAGCTACCTGGACCACCCCAAGGTGAAATCCATCTTCAAGAAAGACATGGATGCCCTGGAAGAGAGCGATGCGGTTGTTTGCGTTCTGCCCTGTGGCCGCTCGGCTCACCTGGAACTGGGTTACGGCATAGGGGCTGGCAAACCGACCGTCCTCCTTTGGCACGACGGCGACGCCCCGGACATTATGCACAAGGCCGTTGATGCCATAGTATTCGACGTCGCTGACATTCCAGGGGCCCTTACCGGCGGCTAACCTTGCTAAGCATACTAACCGTATCGTTCTCGGGCCCCAATCACTTTCCTGAAATAGTCCCTAACCTGGACGCATAACCTGAAGCAGCCTGGCCTTATGCAGGCTGGGGAGCGAAGTCAGGTGAGAGCATCAACCAGGTCTTCTGCTTGACGATCAGGCCGCGTACCGCCGGAAGATACTTGCCGGTCCAGTCAGGGTCCCGAGCCACCTGAGCCTTTGCCTCGTCGAGATGTTCGTAGTCCCGGTAGCCCCAGATGTGAACCACCTGGTTCAGTTCGCCTATATCACTGTAGTACCAACCGGCCAGCTTTACGCCGTACTTGGCCCGGATGGGAATAGACAATTCCTCTACTGCCTTCATGTAATCGGGCACTGCGCCCGGCTTAAAAGTATATTGCCGAAAATCGTAGATCATCTCTTAGTCCTCCGTTCTGCTTTTTAAATGTATCATGCCAGCCAGCTTTGATGCGCTGCCTTTTTGTACCTACCAGATTTGATCCCAGTGGGCAAGGTATGCTGGTCTGTGGCTCCACTGACGTTTGCAACCTTATAACGAGCTTACTGCTGTTTGCATGATGAAGAAGCTTCAACTCCCCTACCCTATCGCCACTTCCCTGCCCTCGTCAGAGGCCTGCCTGATGGCGTCTACCAGATGGTGCAGGTTTACCGCCGTGGCGAAGTCGGGCTGGCAGTCCTGCCCCGACCGGATGGCCTGGCCGAACTGGTAGTACATCTGCCCCACGTTGAAGGCCTCGCCCTTGGGCATACTTTCCAGGACATTGACGAAGCTGCCTGTATCGGCCAGGGTTGCACTGTCCCTGCCGGACCCGCTCACTCCATTTCTCTTTCATTTCTCGCAGCTCGGCTTGGGTCGAATCTCGGAAGTCGCCGCCAGGGTCCCTTCGGTGCCGTAAATTTCCATGTGCAGGCCGCTGCCGGCCCAGGGGTTGCTGGCCACGTGCACCGAGGCAACGCCCCCATCCTTCAGCCGACCGCTGATCAGAATGTTGTCCGGCGAGGTAACTTCGAGCCGCTTATCAGTATCGGTTTCGTACCACTCCTTACTCTGGGTGGACACCACACCGGAAACATGGCTGAAGTCACCCACCACGTCGCAGGCCTCGCTGCTGTGGCGCGCAGCTAATGGGACGATGTGGGCGCCCAGCTCGTTTGTCCGCCCGCTGCCAGTGTCGGGTTCGATGTGCGTTCCAGGGATCCGCCCCGGACCAGGCTAAGGTGGCAAGACAGCACGTCGCCCACGTATCCCTGGGCCACCAGTTCCTTCATATACTGAATGGCCGGTGCCTCACGGGCCTGCAAGCCTACCAGGTTGCGCACACCCTTTTCCTTCGCCAGGTCGGCCATTTCCTGGGCTTGCGCCGTGGTCTGGCCCAAGGGCCATTCGGTGTAGACGTGCTTGCCGGCGTTTAGCGCAGCCACCGTGGGTTCGTAGTGGGAAGGCACCCGCAGAACCACGGCCACGGCGTCAATGTCCGGATGGGCCAGCAGGTCATGGTAATTATCGAAGGCCAGCCTGGCTCCGAAAGCCTTGGCCGACTCTTCGGCGCTCTCTATGCGGGTGGTGCAAACGGCGGTCAACTCAAATTCGGGGCTGGCCACCACCGCAGGGAGGTGGGAACGGGGCGCCCATCCCAGGTGGATGTTGGCGCCAATAATACCCAGGCGGATTTTCTCGGACGATGTTGCCATCAGTAGTGCCTCCTCGACTTATTCATCCAGTCGGTGCATTCCGGTGTAATCATCGGTTCATTCCGGTGTAATCATCGGTTCATATCAGATAGGCGGCCCCGACGGGACAACGATTTGCTCTTGGGGTAATTTACCACACATTGACAGGCAGCGATGGGGAGTGGGTGACCGCCGGAAGCTCTTCGCCCAGTTTTCCGAACGGATCTCGACGTCCTCTATAAAGTGCATTCACCGAGAAAGGAAGAAGTCTGGAAGCCCGCCAAAGCTTCCCACGTTATATAATGCATTCCGCAGACGGTCAGTAAGCTACGGCAGGAGGCAAAGATTCATGAGCATTACAGGTGGAGCCTTCGCCCTGACCGATGACCTGAACATCTGCCGGCTGCTCAACGGCCTGTGGCAGGTGTCCGGAGCCCACGGTCGCATCGACCCCACCGCGGCCATACTCAGCATGATCGACTACCACGATGCAGGCTTTACCACGTGGGACCTGGCCGACCACTACGGGCCTGCCGAAGACTTCATCGGGGAGTTTCGCCGACGCCTGGCCGATGAACGGGGAGAGGATGTCTTGGCCGACATCCAGGCCTTTACCAAGTGGGTACCAAGCCCCGGGCCAATGATGCGGGAAATCGTCGAAAACAACGTGGACATTTCCCTGCGCCGGATGGGCGTGGACTGCCTGGACCTGCTTCAGTTCCACTGGTGGGAGTATGGTGACGACCGCTACCTGGAGGCCCTGGGCCACTTGAGCGACCTGCGGGACGCGGGCAAGATCAGGCACCTGGCCCTGACCAACTTCGACACCGAGCACCTGAAAGTTATAGTGGACAATGGAATCAGGGTCGTCTCCAACCAGGTGCAGTACTCTTTAGTTGACTTGCGTCCGTCCCAGCTCATGGGCCCATATTGCCAGGCCAACGGGATTCACCTGCTGACTTACGGCACCTTTTGCGGCGGGCTGCTTTCCGAGAAATATCAGGGCCAGCCCGAGCCTACACGTATGGCCCTGGATACTGCCAGCCTGAACAAATACAAGCAGATGATCGACGTTTGGGGCGGGTGGCCTCTCTTCCAGGAACTCCTGTCCTGCCTGAAGGTCATTGCCGACAAGCATGGAGTCAGCATCGCCAACGTGGCATCTCGCAGCATCCTTGATCGGCCCGCCGTGGCAGGAGTAATTGGCGGAGCCCGGCTGGGGCTGAGCAGCCACATCGAGGACAACGCAAAGGTGTTCAGCCTGAACCTGGATTCTGAGGACGAGGCAGCTATAGGGGAGGTCACCAACCGAGGCCGTGACCTTGTGGAGTTCATCGGGGACTGTGGGGATGAATACCGGAGGCGGTAGGCATTTGACCAGCGTTTCTACCGCCCAAACCTAAAACTTTTTAGCAGGCTAGTCAGGAACTCTCCGACTCTCTTTCTCCGAACAGTTTCTCCCTGTCTTCAGGCGTAAGTTCTATGCCGGACCGTTGCAGAAATTCTTCCACGCGCCTTTTCTGCTCTTTGACGGCGGCTGCCCGGCCCTCTTCAAGCCCCTGCTTTCGTCCCTCTTCAAACCGAATTCGCTTGTATCTCTCTGAAATCACTCGAACACCCTCCCAGTGGGCGAAGGTTACGATGGTTACCGCCAGGGATATGGCTATCCCTGCCCCAACTCCAATGGCTGTTTCAAGCCGCGTGTCACCCACATTGTAAATCACCTCGTACCAGACAAAAAAGCCGACCAAACAATCGGTTATAATGACTGCCAGCGCGAAATCCAGGGTAAAGCTGTCCAGGCGGGTAAGCAAATTGGGGACTTTCGGCTCCTTTACCCCATTTTAGCATTGGCCCGATCAACCACAAATACGCCGCAATCCGATGTACTTACTGGAGCGATATGCAGATAGGAGCTATCTTTCCCCAGACCGAGATAGGGTCCGACCCCGGCGCAATAAGGGAGTATGCCCAGGCCGCCGAACAGTTGGGTTACTCTCACCTCTTCATCGCCGACCACGTCTTGGGCGCCAGCGCTGACTACCACGCCCATGTGGCCGACGGCTACTACACCAACCGCAGCATCATTCACGAGTCCTTCACCACGATGGGGTACATTGCCGGCATTACCGAGCGCATCGGGCTGACCACCGGCATTCTTATCCTACCGCAGCGGGCCACCGCCCTGGTCGCCAAGCAGGCTGCCGCCGTGGATGTACTCAGCAACGGGCGACTCCGCCTGGGTATTGGCGTTGGGTGGAACCACGTTGAGTATGAAGCGCTCAACCGGAACTTTCGGGATCGAGGCCGCCGCAGCGAGGAACAGATTGCGCTGATGCGTGCCCTGTGGACCCAGGAAGTGGTTGACTTTCACGGGCGCTGGCATCGGGTGGACAACGCCGGAATCAATCCCCTGCCGGTGCAAAGGCCCATTCCTGTTTGGCTTGGGGCCGGCAGCAGCGCCAGTCCCCTGCCGCCAGAACCGGTGCTGCACCGCATCGCCACCATATCCGATGGCTGGTTCCCCAACTTTGAGCCCCAGCAACCCGGCCGGGAAGCCATTGCCAAGCTGCGGGAATACGTCCGGGCTTCGGGCAGGGACGAATCGGAAGTAGGCATAGAGGGCCGAATACGCATTGACAACAAGCAACCGGAGGACTGGGTGGACGAAGCCAAAGGCTGGCAAGAACTGGGCGCCGCCGGCATTACCGTCGAGGCCCGCCGGGGCGGCCTGAGCGGAGTAGAGCAACACATCGACGCTATCGTCCGATTCCGGGAAGCACTGGCGGACATTGGTGACTGGTAACCTGCTTACGGCCACAGCCGGAATCTGACCACACTCTTACCAGGGTCTTAAGCTACGAGGGGGCAACCTTAGGGTTGGCCCCTTTTCTTTTGCCTTGATAGTTATGACGATTGCAGTGAGAACCAAGACCGTGAGAACGGGAGTCCGGCCTGCGATAAACCTCTCTGAGAAGCGCCCTACTAAATGGGCAAAAATCAATATGAACATTTAATAAAACAATAATAATACGTGTTCAATATTGCTTGACAAGATAAACATGGCTCTGTATCATTGTATTCCATAGTAAACGCCAATCAGTATTACACAATTGGCAGATAAAAGGAGGCAACCAATGAGCGCACACATCCACGTACACTTGAACCACAACCACGCCATATTGTTCGGCCGAGTAGCCCGAGATATCGGCAATGCTCTCGACTGGATCACCGGAACGGGTATGTCCAATCAGGAACGACTGGAGCGAGCCAAGGCGGAAACCCTCTACAGCAAGCAGGGCTTTGGCGTTCTGTAAACCAGTAAATTATTGACCGAAAAAAACGAAAAGGAAGCATGCCAAAATGATTGAACAAAAAATCAGCAAGTCAACCCTGGAGTCGGCAAATATCCTTGAACGGATAGCCCAGAACATTATTATCGCCTATGCCTGGGTTTCCGGCCCGGCCATGTCCCAGCAGGACCGCATCAACCAGGAACTGGCCAAGGCCCATCTCTTGGAAATAGAACTGGAGAACACCAGCATCATAAGGTAGCAAGTCCTCTAACAGCGAGATTGTCATGTGCCGGGGCCCTTGATTTTTGGGCCCAGGCCGTTGATCGATGTTTAGGCATGACGGGTTGCGGTGTTATGAGGCAGATGGCAACCCAACTCTGTACAATGAAGAGATCTTTGATAATAGTGGAATAAGTAGAATGTCTGGTCTTTACATCATTCTTCTTGACACAATGCGTATCAGAGTGTAAGATAGGTACCATAGACAGAACACTTGCCACAAGGACTAAAGCCCTTTCATTTTTCGTCGAAAAGGAGGTGACATCATGCGGATTCCAGGACTCCCCACTATGGATTACAGTAAAGGAAACACAGGAGGAAAGAATTGCACGTTCATTTTCATTTCGACCACAACCACGATGGGCCGTTCAGCCGGTTAACCCGAGACCTGGGCGGGGCCCTGGACTGGGTCACCGGTCCGGCCATGTCTCAGCAGGAGCGGATGGAACTAACCCTGGCTGAGGTACAGAACGAAATGCGCGGGTATGGCGTCATCTAAAAGGCCATCCCACACTCGAAAAACTACAACAGGAGCACAAAAAGATTGATAGAACAAGAAAGCAGAGAACTCTGCGTCGAATCCCCCAATATCCTTGAACGGATCGCCCAGAGCATCATCATTGCCTACGGCTGGGTTGCCGGCCCCGGCATGACTGAACAGGAACGCATCAAGCGGGAACTGGCAGAGACCCACCCGCTGGCTACGGCAATGCATACCACCGACTTAATGGGCTAGATAGCCCCCGTGAACTATAACCCCTCTGGACCAGGCCCCTCCGCGAACTGCGGAGGGGCCTCTTGTATATTCTTTTAAGCGCAAGTCCAGGTTACGCTCTAGCGTCTTGGATAACAGAGCTATCTCTGGCGACCAGGCAACAAGCTTTATATGGTGAAAGTTTTCACTTATGATAATTGTGAAATAAGTAATTATGTTGCCATTAGTCTAATAACTCTTGACATTAGTCATATCAACCCTTAAGATTCATTACATAGATTAAACAACCCGCTGGCAAGGCTTAATGCTCGTCGGTTGATCGCTGAGAAGGAGGTGACACCATGGTAACTATCGGACCGCGACAAGAGGTTGAAGTAAAGGACCAGGCCTTGGAAATCGAGGTAGAACGGCAGGTGGCAGAAATCATGGAAGCCGCCGAAACTGAAGAGAACCTGATCCAGGATTCTAATCTTGTGACGCCGACCTGGAAGTATTCGATGCCATTCGCGGGAGTCCGGTATTACAGCTACGACTAGCGCGCGTGGCTTCCCCCTATACCGTACCCCGCCCTGGGACCCCCGGCTCTGCTGGGGGTTTTCCTTTTCTTGTGTGCCCTGTTTCGGAGTAAGGTGTATAGATGCCGCACCTTTGTCCTGGCACTGTTATCGACCCCTCGCACTCCAACTGTTTTCTGACCAACTGTTCTATAATGGCAACTACACCCTAACCGGGTGAGGCCAGCAACGACCCCGGCTGGCCTATATTTGGGCTAATGAGGCCTGCGGTGAAAGACGACACAGGCAAAAGTCCCGACGTTTCCGTTTCCTTACCAATAAGTGGGATGACCTGCGCCGCTTGCGTGATGCACGTGGAGCATGCCCTGCTGGAGACGCGGGGAGTGGTGGCCGCCACCGTCAACCTGGCAACCGAGAAGGCGGCAGTGGCCTTTGAACCGGGGGCGATTCCTCTGGATGAATTGAGAAAGTCGGTGGAAGATGCCGGCTACTCCATTGGCACCACGGACACCACCCTGACGGTGGGCGGAATGACCTGCAGCGCCTGCGTAATGCACGTGGAACATGCCCTGCGGGAGGTTCCAGGGGTGACCCATGCCGCGGTGAATCTGGCGACGGAGCGGGCGAGGGTCAACTACGTTCCGGGCCTGGCCGGTATCACAGAGTTTCGCGAGGCATTGGAGGACAGCGGGTACCGGCTTGATGGCGTGGAGGGCGATGCGAGAGACTCGGCGGCCGAACTGGAGCGGCTGTCACGCACGGAGGAAATCCACTACTTCCGGCACAGGTGCGCCTTTGCGGTGACCCTGGGGATTGTGCTGCTGCTAGGTTCCATGCACGTCTTGCCCTGGTTCGATTACCTGAACGGCCTGAATCTGGGAAGCTGGCAGGTTTGGCCGTGGGTATTGTGGGCGCTGGCTACGCCGGTGCAGTTCTGGGCGGGGTGGCCTTTTTACAAGTCGGGAATACCGGTACTGCGGCACGGGACCGCCAACATGCACACCCTGGTGGCCCTGGGGTCCACGGTGGCCTACGGGTACAGTGCCGTTATAACCATGCTTGCCACCCTGGCGCCGGAATGGTTGTCTGACCGGGGCATCGGGACGGGCGTTTACTTTGACACTGCGGCCCTCATCATCGGGCTGATTTTACTGGGCAGGTTCCTGGAAGCACGGGCGCGGGGCAGAACTTCGGAGACCATCCGGAGGCTGATTGGACTGCAACCCAACACAGCGCGGGTCGTACGGGACGGTCAGGAAATCGAAGTGCCGGTGCAGGACCTCGTTGCTGGCGACGTAGTCGCCGTCCGCCCCGGGGAACGGATACCAACAGACGGCGAAGTCCTGGAGGGAAGTTCCGCAGTGGACGAGTCCATGCTCACCGGCGAGAGCATGCCGGTGGACAAGACGCCTGGCCTGCCGGTCTACGGGGCGACGCTCAATCGCACCGGTTTCTTCCAATTCCGCGTCACCAGGATAGGGCAGGAAACCGCGCTGGCGCAGATTATCCGGCTGGTGGAAGAGGCCCAGGGCAGCAGGGCGCCAATTCAACGGCTGGCAGACCGGGTGGCGTCGGTGTTTGTACCGGCGGTGGGCGGCGTCGCCGTGGCGGCCTTCCTGTTCTGGCTGCTGCTCGGTCCTGACCCGGCATTGACCTACGCATTGCTGACTTTGGTGGCTATCCTGATTATTGCCTGCCCCTGCGCGCTGGGCCTGGCCACACCCACGGCCATCATCGTCGGCACGGGCAAGGGCGCGGAACGCGGCATCCTGATCCGCAGCGCGCAGGCCCTGGAAACGGCCCACCGGGTGGACACAGTAGTCCTGGACAAGACTGGGACCCTGACCGAGGGACGTCCGGTGGTAACGGACATCGTGCCCGCTGAGGCAGGGGTGGAAAGAGAATTGCTCCGGCTGGCGGCCAGCGTGGAATATGGGTCGGAGCACCCCCTCGCCACAGCCATCGTCGAGGAGGCTAACCGCCGCGGCGCCAGTCTGGCAGACGTATCGGATTTCGAGGCGTTGCCCGGGCAGGGGGTGACCGGCTATGCAGATGGGAAGCTAGTCCTGCTGGGCAGTCCCGCACTGCTGGCAGCCCAGGGAATTCCTTTGGATTCGCTGTCCGAAGCCCTGGCGAAACTTGCGTCCGAAGGAAAAACGCCGGTGACAGTGGCTCGGGACGGAGTTGCGCTGGGATCAATCGGGTTGGCCGACGCAGCCAAGCCAGATTCACGGGAGTCGGTTGCAAGGCTGCAGGAAATGGGACTGGAAGTAGTGATGCTGACGGGAGACAACCGGCAAACAGCCCGCCACATAGCCGACAGCCTGGGCATCGCCAGGGTCGAGGCGGAGACACTGCCGAGTGACAAGGTGGAAGTTGTACGGCGACTTCAGGCGGACGGAAAGGTAGTAGCAATGGTCGGCGACGGCATCAACGATGCACCGGCCCTGGTGCAAGCGGATGTGGGGCTGGCCATGGGCGCCGGCACCGACGTGGCGATGGAGTCGGCGGACGTCACTCTGATGGGGAACGACGTGGGCAGCGTCATCACCACCCTGCGATTGAGCCGCCAGACGATGCGTGCCATCAAGCAGAACCTGTTCTGGGCCTTCTTCTATAACATCATGCTGATTCCGGTGGCGGCGGGGGTCCTGTACCCGGTTTTCGCGGCTCTGGGGGGCGTACCTACGGAATTGGAGTTCTTCTTCGGCGACCAGGGGTTCCTGAATCCGGTGCTGGCCGCGCTGGCAATGGCGTTCAGCTCGGTTACGGTGGTGAGTAATTCCTTGAGGTTGAGGGGAGCAGGGGTTTAGGGGGAGGGTTCACGGTCTATTGGTCCAGCAATTGGCAAAATGGTTTTTTCAGAACTTGTAGAAGACTCGCCTCCTCGGCCTGCAGAGTAACTTCATACACCCAGAGAATAAACCCTGTTTACGGTTGGGAATCGTAACCACTTTATTCCCCTTTACTTGAACGTGGGAGGAAACGGCGTTCACCGATACGTTGGAACAGTAAGTCTAGACTGACCCAGCGGCGGCCCGTTCAATGGTTTCCGAAATCCAGACACTCAGGGTCTTGCCCTCAAATTGCGCTGCTTCCGCAGCCGCCCGGTGAACATCCGGGCTCAGTTTCAAAGGTATATTACCGGAGAAGGGCATTTCTGGCGTTTTCCCCCTTTCCGCGCAGAAAGAGATGTATCCGTCAACAGAATCTTTAAAGGCATCGCGAAGTTCCTCAACGGACTGGCCCTGGAAAGTAACCAATTCTCGGATGCCGAGCACTTCGCCGTGAAAGATTCCGGCTTCGTCGTCAAAAGTAACAGTTGCCTGATAGCTCTTATACTCCATCGATCCTATTCCCCTCTAATGCCAGCTTCCATCAGGAATCTCCTCATTGACGACACAGTTCCCTTGTCCGTTTCCTGTCTGGGATGGGGGTGATGAAATACAGCCGTAATGTCATTGAGTTCAATCGCCACTCTTGATCCTGCCCGCTCTTCGACAATTGCTCCGAAAGCGTTCAGCAAGGAAATAATATTATCCCAACGAATATCTGACTGCGCCGGTTAGCGGAAGATTGCCGCCAGTGTCCTGCGGTGCCTTCTCCTCATATGGCGATTCTATGGAAGCGCTGACAACAGGGTTAGCTGGCCGCCGCTCTCCGCTTGTTAAGGAAAAATATCAGCCACAGCAGGTTGCCGGCGAACATTGCGCCGGAGACGAACCAGAGAACGGTCCCTATGGTGGGATTTGTCGCGAGGCCAATGCCCAGGCCCAGGTAGAAGATCGCGATGGCGACCAGGAACAGCACGATGTGGATCGCTATTCTCTGGGCAAGATTCATTGCCCCTCACCTCCCCAAGTGCGTAACCAAGCACCTAACACCGTTGGCCCAACAGAGGCCAGTAAGCTCAATTCTGTCTAGGCGCTGGCCCCGCAGCAGCGCTTGTATTTTTTGCCGCTGTTGCAGGGGCACTTGGCGTTGCGACCTATCTTGGCTCCGCCCGGGGCGGCCTGGCGGCCGTTGCCCACCACCGCCTGCATGGGGCTTGCCTTGGCCGAATCGGACGGACTCCGGGTCGGTACGCTGGCAGGACGCTGGGTTACGGTAATGTGGAACAGGGAGTGGACCACATCCTGCTGCATCCGGTGGAGCAGTTCCTGGAAGGTCTTGTGACCCTCGGTGCGGTACATGACCAGCGGGTCCCTCTGCCCGTAGGCGTGAAGGCCGATGCCGGTCCGGAGGTTTTCCATGGTGGTCAGGTGGTTGACCCAGTGCAGGTCGATGGCCCGCAGTAACAGGAGCCTCTCCAGGGTCCGCATCTGCTCGGAGCCCAGTTCCTCTTCCCGTGCGTCGTAGACGGTTCCGGCGTAGTCCGAAAGGATCTGGGTTATATCCTCAATCTTGTGGCCGCATACCCGATCTTCGTTCCGGAGTTCCGGCGGCAGCGGGCAGATGAGCGCCAATTCCGAGACAAACCGGTAGCGTCCCAGTTATCGGCGTGGCGGTCGGGGAGGTGCTTGAGAATCAGGTCGGAAAACTCCTGCCGGAGCATTTCGACAATCTTCTCTTTGAGGTTGTCACCGTTGAGAATTCGCACCCGATCGGTGTAGATGATCGCGCGCTGCTGGTTCAGTACGTCGTCAAAATTCAGCAAGTGCTTGCGAACATCGAAGTGGTAGCCTTCCACCTTGACCTGGGCCCCGGAAATGGACTTGGTGATGAGCTTGTTCTCGATGGGGGTTTCCTCGTCCATGCCGGTCCAGCCCATGACCGACTTGATGCGGTCGCCGCCGAAGCGCTGCATCAGTTCATCTTCCAGGGCCACGTAGAACTGGGAACTGCCCGGGTCACCCTGGCGACCGGAACGGCCCCGCAACTGGTTGTCGATACGGCGGGCGTCGTGGTGTTCGGTGCCAATTACGTGGAGGCCGCCAAGCTCGACTACTTCGGCATGTTCGGCGCTCCACCCGGGGTCGTCGGTGTTGGCGCCACCCAGGACAATGTCGGTGCCGCGACCGGCCATGTTGGTGGATACCGTTACCGAGCCCAGGCCACCAGCCTGGGCTATGATGCCTGCTTCCTGGGCGTGGTTCTTGGCATTCAGCACCTGGTGGGGGACGCCGCGCCGCTTGAGTCGTTCACTCAGCGCTTCGGAGGCCTCGATGGAAGTGGTGCCAACCAGGATGGGGCGTCCTGTCTCGTGGGTCGTTAAGATGTCCTCCACCACCGATTTCCACTTGGACTCGGTGGCCTGGAAAATCAGGTCTGGCTCGTCAGCTCGAATCATCTCCACATTGGTGGGGATGATCGCAACCTCCAGGCCATAAATCTTGTAGAACTCGTCGGCCTCGGTGGCGGCGGTACCGGTCATGCCAGCCAGCTTGTCATACATGCGGAAGTAGTTCTGGAGAGTGATGGTGGCGTAGGTTACGCTCTCCCGCTGGATTTTCATCCCCTCCTTGGCCTCAACGGCCTGGTGGAGGCCGTCGGACCAGCGGCGGCCAAATTGGAGGCGTCCGGTGAACTCGTCGACTATAACCACTTCACCGTCGCGAAGGACATAGTCCTTATCCTTGACCTTTTGCACCTGGGCGTTAAGGGCGTTTTCGATGTAGTGCACCAGGTGGTAGTTATCCGGGTCGTACAGGTTATCAACCTTGGTCCACTGTTCCATCTTTTCGATTCCCTCTTGAGTGAGGGAGATAGCCTGGGTGCGCTCGTCAATGGTGTAGTCTTCGTCCGGGTCCAGGCGGGGCACCAGGCGGGCAAAGGTGTAGTAGTGCTGGACCGGCTCCTCGGCGGGGCCGCTGATAATCAGGGGAGTACGGGCTTCGTCAATAAGGATGTTGTCCACCTCGTCAACGATGGCAAAGTGGAGTTCCCGCTGCACCCGGTTTTCCGCTTCCAGGGCCATGTTGTCGCGAAGGTAGTCGAAGCCGAACTCGTTGTTGGTGCCATAAAGCACGTCGGCCCGGTACGCCTCCTCACGATTGACCTGGCGCAGGAACTTCATGCCCGCTGGGGCCGCCGGTTGCGTCGGGATCGTACATGAAGGCAGTGTCGTGCTGGAGGCAGCCTACGGTCAGGCCCAGGTTGTGGTAAATGGGACCCATCCACACCGGGTCACGGCGGGCCAGGTAATCATTGACTGTCACCACGTGGACGCCCTGCCCGGAAATAGCATTGAGGTACACGGGCAGGGTGGCGACAAGAGTCTTGCCCTCACCGGTCCTCATCTCGGCAATCTGGCCGCGGTGGAGGACGATCCCGCCGATTAGCTGGACGTCATAGTGACGCTGGCCCAGGTTGCGTTGGGCCACTTCGCGCACGGCGGCGAAGGCTTCGGGAAGCAGGTCGTCCAGGGATTCACCCCGGTCCAGGCGGTCGCGGAACTGCTGGGTCAAGCCCCCCAGTTCTGCGTCGGAGCGAGCCTGCATCTGGACTTCCAGGCTGTTGATTTCAGGCACAAGAGTGTTGGCGAGCTTGTCTATGGCCTTTTCGCCGGGGTCGCCGATGATCTTACGAAGCAATGTAACCATTTTGATTTACCTTCTTGAGGAGTTGCGTACCAATGAATGTAACCTGTGGTACGCCAAAAGTTTTCGAACAGTTTGCCTGGGAAAGGGGCATCTGATTCGGGAAATACGCCGCAGCCCCGCAACATCCCTATTTCCACACTTCCTTATTTCCGGTGGAAGGCCTATTAAAGAATTGTACCCGAACAGGGAAAAAGTTGCACATTGGGAATAAGCCCTAACCATTAAGCCTTTCTTCCTTTGGGGTCGGGATGAGAGAGCTGGAGGGGACGCCCACAGGGATGGCTCAAACAATCTTGACTGGCCAAGCAAACTGTACCGACACCGTGCTTCGTATTTATAACCTTGACAGATTCGCCTGTTGCCAGCAGTATAGGGCATATTTTATGAAACCCCGCCCGAAGGACCGCCCCCGTTGAACATTAACCTTAAGCCTTCCCAGCTTACCTTCGGAAATCGTAGGATCCACTATGCTTGGGTAATCGTTCTTGCCGCCGCGTTGATGCGGCTGAGTTCCTCCAGTTTCCGCACCTCTTCCAGCATCCTTATCCCCCGCCTCGTGGAGACCTTTGGCTGGAGCTACGGGATGGTGGGGCTTGCCTTCTCCCTTCAATGGGTGGTTTCCGGCATGTTCGGAACGCCGGCCGGCTGGCTGGGCGACCGCTACGGGGTGCGGGTTACGATGGTGATCGGGGCTGGCCTTTTTGTCCTTGGCATGGTGCTAACCGCCACGGTTACGCACATCTGGCAGTTTTACCTCTACTTCGGCATTATCCTCAGCGCGGCGATGGGCATTTTCCAGGTGCCGTTGACTGCGGGAGTCACCCAATGGTTCCACCGGAGGCTGGGCGTAGGCATGGGCCTGCTGCAAGCGTCCCAGGGGTTGGGGCCGCTGGTGGCGGTACCGCTAATCCTTATCATAATTGGGGTTTTCAGCGGCGAACCGGGCTGGCCGCTGACCTGGATACCAGGCATTGAAAGCCTGTTCGGCAGCGAGGAAAAGGGACTGCGAGCCTCCTTCTGGATTCCGGGCATTATCGGCGGACTGCTGCTGCTGGGACTGGTTCGCCTGTTCTATGACGAGCCCGCCTCCATCGGAGTCCGGCCCCTTGGCATGTCGGAGGACGAGCCGGTCAGGCAGTTGCAGTCGGGCAATGCGGCCAAGGTAAGGTCCAAGTTTTTCCTGAAACAGGTGCTTCCGACGACGGCCTTCTGGAATCTGATCGGCATTCACTACTGGGGCTGCGCCGGCCACGCCATCGTAATGGTATACATTGTTGCCATGGCGGAAGAGGCGGGAGTGTCCAAGGGGCTGGCGGCGGGAACCTTCATCGCCCTGACTATGAGCAGCACCCTGACCCGCTTCGCGGTGCCGATATTGGCCGACCACCTGGGCAGCAAGGGTGTGATGGGAGTCTGCTTCTTCCTGCAGGTGGCGCCCGTGGGCCTGCTGTTCTTCGCCGACAGCGCGTGGATGTTCTACCTGTTCGCCATACTGTTCGGCATCGGGTTTGGTGGCGAAATGACCGCTTTCCCCATTATCAACCGTCAGTATTACGGTAATGCCCCGATTGGAACGACCTACGGGTTCCAGATGATGGGGGCCGGTTTTGGCATGGCCTCGGGTGCGGCCATCGGAGGATTGTTGCGGGATCTGACCGAAGGGTTCAGCTACCCTGCTCTTATCTCATCCGGCGCTTTTACGGCTACCATAGGTGCTTCTCTGATCCTGAGCGCACTGGGCGTGGTCTCAATTATGTTGCTGCCCAATACCGGTCGGCACCAGTTGCCGCACTGGGAGGACGCTTTGCCGGACGAGTACCGCACCACGCCAAGGACCGGTCAGGTGGCAAGTCCAGGGGACTAGGAAAGGCTTCGGCCCCCGCGTTCCCCTTTATTACGCTAAAATAGACGCAGGCTGGCAATTTGAGGAGAAGAAGATTGGCCCTGCGAGGGCAAGTTAATGCATAATCGGGAGCGAGGAGGACGGCTATGTTTGACTTGATAGTTCGGAACGGCCAGGTAGTGACTCCCTGGGGAGTAGGTGACTGGGACATCGCCATACAGGGGGAGAAAATAGTCGCCGTAGCCGCCAACCATACGTTGACGGAAGAATCGGCCCGGGTGATTGACGCCACCGGCAAGGTGGTGGTACCCGGTGGAATTGAGCCCCATGCCCACGTCCATGCACCAATTATGGGTCACGGAGACCTGAAGACCGCCCCCCCGGAAGAAGTGAGCCGGGCCGCCCTGTTCGGCGGCACCACCACAATCCTCGACTTTGCCATTCAGTACCCGGGCATCGACATCAGCCAGGCCATCCAGGAACGGACGGGCGTCTGGCAGAACAACTCCTACGCCGACTATGCCCACCACCTCATGCTGCTAGGCGACATCTCCGACAACGTGCTGGGGCAGCTTAATGAGCACATCCAGGACGGGTTTTCCAGCGTCAAGATCTTCACCACCAACATCCGTCCCCCTGCCATGTCCGGTGAGCCGCGCATGGTCCGGATGGGCCACCTGCACGACTTGATGGAGCAGGTGCAGCGGAACGGCGCCATGCTGATGGTCCACGCCGAGGACGACGACATGGTGCAGCACATGTACAACAAGCTGACGGAGCAGGAGCAGACCGAGTGGTGGAACATGCACCTGGTCCACAGCAACGAATCGGAGGACGTATCCTTCAGGCGGGTACTACGGGTAGCGGAATGGACCGGTTCGCCAGTCTATTTTGTCCACGTCAGCGCGCGGGAAGGCTTGGCCGCGGTGCAGGAAGCCCGGGCTAACGGCCGTCCGGTTTACGGGGAGACGCTGCACAACTACTGCTGCTTCAATGCCGACAATTACAAGGAAGACAACGGCATGAAGTACCATACCTACCCTTCCCTGAAGTCGGAAGAGGACCGGGCTTCCCTGTGGCGGGGCATTGTCCAGGGCGGGCTGAGCACCATGGCCACGGACGAGTACTGCACGTCGTGGGATGTGAAGATCTCAGGACGGCAGGTAACCGACGTAACCGGCGGCCACAACGGCGCGGAGACCCGCATGGGCGTTACCTTCAGCGAGGGCGTGTCCCGGCAGGGGATGTCACTGCAGCGGTTCGTGGACGTAACCTCGGGCAACGCCGCCAAGATCATGGGCCTGTACCCCCGGAAGGGCGTGATCGCCCCGGGCAGCGACGCCGACATCGTGCTGATTGACCCGAACATCAAGCGGCCACTGACGATGAACGACTTCCACATCTCCGACTACAGCATCTGGGAAGGCTTCGAGGCGGCAGGCTGGCCCGTGATGACAATCCTGAGGGGAATGGTCGCCGTGGAAGACGGTCGCCTGCGCACCGGCCACGGCAGCGGCAAGTTCGTGCGCCGGAAGGTGGACCCGGAGGTGGTTAACCGGCCGGCGGCATAGTTAAACTGAAAATGGAAGGTTGAGCAACAACAAAAGGGGCGCCGATTTGGCGCCCCTGATTTTTGGATGAAGGGACACGAATAACCACGAATAACGTGCTCATTCAACAGTGGTACGCATTTCCGATCCGCCAGGTGAGGCTAATTGTCCCACCAATGAATTGCGAATCCTACCCATCCGGTACCCCATGCCCCGCCCATAGCGACGGGCCACGCTGTGTTGGACGGCAGGCATTTCCGGCGTACTAGCTCCCAACAGTTGAGCCATTGACGTTACCCGCCGGTCGGTTATGCCGCAGGGGACTATTTGGGCGAACTTCGAGAGGTCGGGGTCTACATTGATCGCGAAGCCGTGGTGGGCAACGCCTCGGCTGATTTTAACCCCAATGGCAGCTATCTTTGCGTTTCCGACCCACACACCGGTCAAACCTTGCTCGACACCGGCGTTGATACCGAAGTCTGCCAGGGCACAGATAATAACCTGCTCTAAATTGCGGACGTACTTTAGCGGCCCACCCCAGTCGCGCAGGTTAACTATGGGGTAGGCGACTAACTGGCCAGGGCCGTGGTAGGTTACCTGGCCGCCCCGGTCGGTCTCCACCACATCGATGCCTTGTGCCACCAGGTCTTCAGGGGATAGGGGGATATGCTCGGGCTTTGAAAGTCGGCCCCGGGTGTAAACGTGAGGATGTTCCAGCAGAAGCAAGGTGTTGGGTTGTAGCCCGTCGTGGATCGCCCGCTACCAGGTCGGTCTGCAAATTCCAGGCACGCCGGTACTCCACGGTGCCGAGGGTCATGACCTGGCAATAAGGCGATTCAGACACGGATTAACGCTATATAAAGGATGAGCGAAGACGGACGACTAATCTCATCCTGGCCATCCTGTTAGTCCATACAAGTTAAGCGGTGGTATTGGGGCCGATGGCTTCCAGGCGGCGCTTCATGGCCTGCATGAAGGCGCTGGACTCGGCGCCGTCGTTGATGCGGTGGTCGAAGGACATGCACAGGTTCATCATCGAACGTATGGCGATGGCGTCGTTGATGACCACAGGGCGTTTCTGGATGGCCTCAGTGGTCATTATGGCGGCCTGGGGGAAATTGATGATGGGCTGGGATATCAGGGAGCCCAAGGCGCCGGTGTTATTCAGCGTGAAGGTGCCGCCCTGCACGTCGTCAATGGTCAGCTTGTTGTCGCGGGGCTCGCTGGGTCAGGTCGGCGACAGCGTGGGCCAGGCCGGAGAGGCTGAGGCGGTCGGCGTTGTGAATGACCGGCACCACCAGTCCGTTGGGCGCGGCCACGGCCAGGCCGATATTAAGGCGCTTCTTCAGGGTAATCTTGTCGCCGCCCCAAGTGGCGTTGAACGTTGGGTTCTCCTTGAGGGTTTCCACCAGGGCCCGAATGACGAAGGGCAAATAGGTCAGGTCCACGCCCTCGCGCTGGCGGAAGGCCTCGCGCACGGCAGCGCGGGTGGCGACCAGGCTGGAAACGTCCACCTCGACGGTGCTCCAGGCGTGGGGTATCTGGGACACGCTGCGTACCATGGCCTCGGCAATCATGCGGCGCACCGGGGTCAGGGGGATGTGCTCTTCGTCGTTGCCGTCGGCTGGCTGGGTTTGTGCCGTCGGGGCCGCCGGCTGGACGGCCACCACCGAGGCAGCCACGTCACGGGTTTCCAGGTGCTTGAGGACGTCGTCGCGGGTTATGCGGCCGCCCATTCCGGAGCCGGCTATCAACGACAGGTCAACGTCGTGCTCCCGGGCCAGCCGGCGTCACGGCGGGGGACAGCCTGCGAGAGCCATCGCTGGCGGGCGCAGCAACTGTCGGGGTTTCAATAGCGACTTGAGCCGCGAGTGATGCCGCCAATACGGCGGCGGTTTGCTCCGGAGGCGGTGCGGGCGGACTGTCGTCGCCGGAGCCGCCACCAGTGGGGCCGATCATGGTGGCGGAGGTGTTCAGGTAACCAATACGGCTGGCGGGGGGCGCAGCTTGCCCTTCAACCGGTTCAGTATGGGCAGTTGTTGGCGTGGCTAGCGCGGTTGGTACCGCGGCAGCCTCAACCTGAGTGGGAGAAACAGAAGTTTCCGGCGCTGCTGATTCAGAAGAGGGGCTGTCGGAGGTTTCAACCTCGGCGATCGGCGCGCCCATGGGGACGGTTTCACCCTCCTGGGCCAGGATTTTGACCAGGGAGCCGTCCACGGGAGAGGGAACTTCCATGGTTACCTTGTCGGTAACAACCTCGACCAGCGGCTCGTAGCGCTCCACCTTGTCACCGGGCTTTTTCAGCCACTTGCCGATGGTGCCTTCAACGACCGACTCACCGACGTGAGGAAGTTCAATAGTTTGGGCCAAGGTTACACCGCCATTGGGTTTTCATTTTGTCCACGAACACGGGCGAATGGGCATAAATTGATGTCGCCCGATTTATTGACTATTTGCGTGTATTCGTGGATTGAGTCAGTAAGCTGCCAGGTTGCGAAGGGCTTCGGCGATTTTCTGTGTGCTGGGCATGTAGGCGTCTTCCAGGGTCTGGGCGAAGGGCATGGTGGGAACGTCAGGGCCGCAAACCCGCCCAATGGGGGCATCCAGGTAATCGAAAGCCTGGTCGGCGGCCAGGGCAGCAATCTCCGAACCGACGCCGCCGGTGATGTTGTCTTCGTGGACGATAAGCAGCTTGCCCGTTTTCTTGACCGACTCCAGCACCGTCTCGGTGTCCAGGGGCTTGAGGGTGCGGAGGTCCACCACTTCCACTTGGGCAACGCCCTCCGAGGCCAACTGTTCCGCCGCTTCAAGACAGTAGTGGATCATCAGGCCGTAGCTGACCACGGTGATGTTCTTACCGGGCCGCTTGACTTCAGCCTTGCCGATGGGCAGCACGTAGTCCTCATCGGGAACATCGCCCCGCACCAGGCGGTAGGTTTTCTTGTGCTCCAGGAACACCACCGGGTTGTTGTCGCGAATGGCGGACTTGAGCAGGCCCTTGGCGTCGTAAGGTGTAGCGGGTGCGACTACCTTTAATCCCGGGGTGTGGAAGAAAATTGCTTCCACGTTCTGGGAGTGAAACAGGCCTCCGCGAATGCCACCGCCGTAGGGGATGCGGATGGTCACGGGGGCATTGACCTTGCCGTCGGTGCCGTAGCAGGCCCGGGCCGCTTCGCCGATAAGCTGGTTGACCGCCGGCCACAGAAAGTCGGCGAATTCAACTTCCGGTATGGGTCGCAGTCCCCGGAAAGAGGCGCCTAGCGCTATGCCCATGATGGAGGCCTCAGCCAGGGGGGTGTCAATGACCCGTTCCGGTCCGAATTCTTCGATGAAGCCCTGGGTGGCCAGGAAGACGCCGCCACGGTAGCCGACATCCTCGCCCATGACGAAGACGCTCTCGTCACGTTGCATTTCCTCCCACATGGCTTCCCGGACTGCTTCAATTACGCTTTTGACGGCCATTGGTTTTCCTTTTATACCCTACCCACTTTTACCCTATCCAAGAAGGGACACGAAGCTTCACGAAGAAAATCGGACGATCAGGGAGCGTAAACGTGCTGGTGCAGGGTTGACGCATCAGGCAGGGCCGCTGCTTCGGCGGCGTCGGTGGCCTCGTTGATGGCCCGGCGGGCCTGGGCACGGATCTCGTCCTGCTCCTCCTCGGTGAGGTAGCCCTGTTCCAGCATAAACTTGCCGAAGGCCGCCACCGGGTCCCGCTGTCGCACAGCCTCAATCTCTTCCTTGGGCCGGTAACGGGTATCGTCGTCGTCGGTGGTATGGGGCATCAGGCGCTCCAGCTTCATTTCCAGCAGCACCGGCCCCTCCCGGCGGGCGTGGTGGATGGCCTCGCGGGTGGCTTCGTAGGAAGCCAGCAAGTCCAGGCCGTCCACGATAACGCCGGGGAAGCCGTAACCTTCGGCGCGATTCGCCACGTCGCCGATGGCCATCTGCAACCGCTGGGGAACCGAGATGGCGTAGCCGTTGTTTTCGCAGATGAAGATCACGGGCAGCTTGTGGACGCCGGCAAAGTTCATTGCCTCGTGGGTCTCGCCCTGGCTGGCGGCGCCGTCGCCAAAATAGGCCAGCGTTACCCGGTCGTCACCGCGCATCTTGCAGCCCAGGGCATAGCCCACCGACTGGGTCATCCCGGCGGCCACCACATTTGAAAGCTGGATGATATTGTGGTCAAGATCGGCGCCCTGCAGGGGAAACTGGCGGGCGTTGCTGTAGGGGTCGCCCAGCTTGCCCATGAAGGAAAGCATGATCTGGGTGGGTGTAAGCCCCACTCCCATCTTGAGGGACAGGTCCCGATAGTAGGGGAAAAAGAAGCAATTGCCGTCCTTTTCGGCGGCCAGCAGAGTGCCCAACTGGGCGGCTTCGTGGCCCTGTCCGGAAGCCGCAATGGGCACCTTGCCCTGCCGGTTCATCATCCAGATGCGCTCGTCGGTGGTGCGCACGGTAATCATCCGGCGGTAGTAATCAACCATGTCCTCCGGAGTGAGACCCTCAGGCAGGGCCCTGGAGAGATCGGCAGTTTTACCGTCGGTCTGATTGGTTAGCTGTGTCATGGTTTCCTCCGGTGAACGAACCGGTCTGGAAGGGTGTCGAGATGGTAGTGGCGAGTCTAGCCACGTAAGTGGATATACCTGAGCCAATTATATATGCTAGGGGGTGGGCGGGCAAATCTGGGGAAGGGGCATTTAATTGCCGCTGTTGCCTCCGAGGCATTCGTTTAGTAGGTAGGAAGGCTGAAATTATTGAGAGGATATTGGAAGGCATGCCTTTCCACCTACCCGTATCAGCCATCGAACCACGCAAGTCCTGAATAGATAGTAACTGAGACTTCTGATAGAATTCGGAAGAATGCCTTGACCGTAATGGAGCAAGAATGCAACAGAAGAACCGGCATCAAATAGAACGAAAAGCTAAAGAAATTCTCTCGCAGCACGGCCTATTTTCTTTGCCAATTGATCCCGTCAAGCTGGCTCACGAGTTAGGTGTCACAGTAAATAACGCGAAGTTCGCAGATGATTCTTTGGCAGCTATGATAGCGAAGCGTGGTGAATCTACTCGTATCCTTGTTGAGCAGTCCGATCCTCCTTATAGAAAGCGTTTTTCTATTGCACATGAGTTAGGACACCACTTTCTTCATTTGATGGAAGACGGGGAAATTATTGATAAACGTGGCGACATGTTCCGCGAGCGGGAACCGATGAGTGGCCCAATTTTAGAGGCACGGCTAAGAGAAATACACGCTAATTGGTTCGCTGCAGCGGTGCTAATGCCTGAGGAATTTGTTCGTGCAGAATGGTCCAAGGACCCTAATGTCGCCCAGTTGGCTAGAAAATTCAACGTTTCTGAAGAAGCCATGGGGTACAGGCTCGATTACCTGGAACTATGGACTCCGGTTTAATGGAAATCGATTGGCATCGAATTGCCCGCCGCCAGGTCTCACAAATAGGAACCCCTGTTACCTCTGAAGAAATAGACACCTTCGAGAGGCTTTCGCGATTGCAAGGTAGGGAAGAAGGCGAGCGCGGCGACCGGCGACTGCGGTTAGGGTATGGGATAACTCTTTTAGTTCTTTTGTCAATTCAAATCATTTCAGTTACCGTATTTACCTTTTTAATCGGCCTTGGCTATATGCAAATCGACCAGTGGATCTCCACGACCTTCGTTGGTGGAACGTTAGGTGAGGTTTCAGGACTAGCTTTCTTGGTTGTAAGGTACTTATTCCCCATTAAAGAAAGAAAAGGCGAAACGTGACAAGTTTAGACTTAGGTATAGCTTTTAACGCTTTGTCGGATGTGGTCGTAAACCGCCCTCCGGCGCTAAGAGATTTTGACCAAATCTATATGAAGATTTCCGATATGCTTCTCCAGGCGGAACTCTTGAGTCGCTGGCTTGACGGCAAATCGGTAGTGTTTCTAGGAGACGGTGATGCGATTGGCCTTACGCTCGTACATCTGCAAAGTAAGGGAATATTCAAGCGCGGCCCGAAACACGTGCACGTGTTGGACTTTGATGAACGCATTGTAAACTCCATAGAAATGTTCGCCAGAAGCTACGACGTAGAAGATATGATTTCAGCGGAACTTTACAACGTAGCAGACCCTTTACCTAGAAACCGG